AAAGAATCAATAAAATAATGAATATTCTTGTTGAGATTCGTTCGTTTTGAAGATCATATTCAATAGTCGAAGGTGGAATCGATGAAAACAAATTTAATTTTATCAGATAGTTTTTTGATTTTGATAACAAACTGATAGTTGCTGCATTTACATCATCTTCTGTAAAAGAAAACTTTAAATGAGAAAATATATCTTCAGAATAAGTTTAAAATATGGTGCAGAAATTGTTGAATGGATTTATTATTATTCTGTTAGTAGTCATAAAATAAAATAAATATATTTATGGAGTGGTGCTTTCACTTTACTTTGGTTTAAAAAAAGAAGTGAAAGTAAAAATTTCAAAACTGAAGATATACTTATCTGGCGCATCTTCCACTTTTGCTCGAATCATCCCTGCTGTTCTGTTATCCTATGACAATACAGAGGATCAACTACAAGATTACTGCTCAAAAGGATATACGTTGGCTAAGTAATATGAGCATAGAAAATTTCAAACAAATAAAACAAAACGTTTGTAAAGAATAATGATCTCTCCTTCAACCGACTCTCATATTCACATACACTCTATCACTATTCATATCTCCATCCGTCACTTTCTTCCTCTTCTCCTTGTTCAGTATATACGTTCACTCTTTCCATTCACTGTACTTCACTCTCTCTTTGTATATGTTCAATATCACTCTCATTATTCATCCTATCTCTCTCCATTCATATTTCACCTCTCTCCTTTTGTGCGTACGTTCAATCACTCTCTCTTTGTTACTTGCACTATATATACTCATTGTACAGCACATACAGGCAGTCTATTTTATAATAAACTCAGTAAAGGCATCTGCTCCTTTACATTTGGCGATCTCGCCTCGGCGAATTTACTGTGAATCCCTGATCGTATATCAGGTTGTGATATTTCGGTGTAGGTATCTGTACACCTGTTACCCCAGTATTTGTTTAGCGCTGACATTACTGTCACTAGTGCTACTACTGCTTTCTCTAAAGCAGTCGTGAATCTCTGATTGTATATCAGGTTATTTGTGTATTTAAGTGTGAACAGTTGTACACATCTTATTCGTAATATTTCGTTATTTAAAGCAAAGCATCAAAGCGTAATCTGGTGTTTCTTCATATAGTTTTATTAGTATTATTATTACGTAGTTTCACGTAGTTAGTGTTCACTGAAATCAGTAGTGAATACTTGCCGTATATTCCCTACCTTCGCTACTCCTTTTCATTAGTGGTCGTACTGTATCCTTGATCGATAGTCAGGTGTTCGGCACACTTTGTCTACTTTTTACCAAGACCTTCCTGGTGTACTTCTCTGTTCGAACAATATTCGAAGATGAAGAAAAAGAGTAGTAGTCGGCAGAGACAACCTGCACACTGCCAAATCTCTACAATATCCGATTTCCCTGACAAGCAGTCTATTTTATAATAAACTCAGTAAAGGCATCGTTTCCTTTACAACGTTATCTTCCATCTTTTATTTTTATTTCTTAAGAGAACAATTATATTATTGAAGTTAATACATTTTTGATGTCATAAGGTCTATTGATGTATCATATTATATGTTAAGAAAAGCTTTAACAGAAGTCATCTTCCTTTCACTTTTTCGTCGATACTAAATTATACATGATGTACCATTTTCTTTCTCTGACGATTTTTTAGATCATTTCTTGCAGACCGCCGATTTGAATATTGATGTCAGAAAAGACTAGATTAACATATCATATTCACATCCATCCTCAAGATGAACATTTCGCAGAAAGACCGAGAAGAGATTGAACTCGAAAAGTCTGTTGTTAGACATTCAATTCGAACTTTGCTGATCCGAGATTCTGAACCTCGAATTCCACTGGTCATTTGTGAAAAATCATGTTACTTTTTCAGAAATACACTGAAAATCGTTGAAACATCCAGATCATCGTCTGGACAAATATTATTTGTTGTACTTCCTTTGACTCTTTATGCTTTGTAGTAGATATTGTTTATTTTTTCTCTATAGTGATCCACTTTTATACACTATTACAATGATATGATTAAAGAACCGAAATTTCACGACATTTCTTACAAAGTTTATAAAACTATTTATCTACTTTTTAAGTTAGAAATTTCGCGTGAGTATTTTGTAAAAATTAGTCGTTACTCATAACAGTCATCAATTTAATTTATCTTAGTCCATTTACAATCACATATTTATCTTGAAATTCAAACATGCAATTATCTTTCTGTCAAAATATTTCTTCAATTTTTACTTTTTTCACGACACTGATCGATGATAAATAAATTTTTGGCAAATAAAACGCAGACACTACCATCTTACCCTGTTCTATTCCTTGTATTTTTCTTCTTATTTTGTTTATGAACTTGACTAATGTCGGCACGATCAGTTTCAAAATTGTTATTAAACCACCCATCAATCCAAACAGTGCAGTGATTATATAAATCACACCATTTTTTCTTTCATAAGTATATGTGCATTCTATTGGTTGGCATTGATTATAATAGTTCTCGTATGTAGTTGATATGTTCCATTGTTCTATCATTAAATTATTGACAAGATCTTGTATTGTTGAATTGACAAAATATTGACTTGGTAATGATGAATTAAGAGGTGTTACATTCATTGATGGAGTATCATCATAATATGACAGAATTTCAGTGATACATGTTTCATTATAAAAACATTCAAGAGTTGACTGAAGAATTGCATCAATGACATAGCAGCCAAGTAATAAACCTGGTACATAAAATGCTTCTATCTCGTCATCCATCCTATAGATGCGTGTTTGGTAAACGCATCTCGCTGAATAATCACAACTACAGTTGCCGTACCGTCGTGGATATACATCTATCTTGATCATGTCTGATAGTACCTTTAAATCGTAATTCGTGTACCATGCAGAGTATAGCCCATTGGCTTGAGTAATATATTGCATCATATGAAGTATAGGAAGAAAATTTGTTTTTGTTAAGTCCTGGAACTGATTAATCAGTGCTTGGGTTTGTGACGTGAATATGTGTGATGCTGTAACACTTGCACTAACATATAGAGTTGAATTATACAGAATCAAACTGTTTGAAATTGTTTGATTAGACATTTGACAAAACATATTCAACGCTTGAAATTGTGTCAGACCACTGAATAGGAAGTTGTCAAATGAAAGCCATGCCCAGTACCTATAACGACCGATAAAATCAAGCCAATCTTGTGACATAAAGATACTATTGCACAGCTGATGAAATGTGTAATCAATACGAAAAAGTTTGTTGTAATCAATCGATGTTGTTGTACATGGACATGTAAGACTGTCTGAATATCTTAAAAATAATTGTGAATATTTTTCTAAATTAGGTTCTTTTATCTCGATCGTAA